CGGGGCTTGGTTCTGTGCGTCACTTGTTGATTGGATGTGGAGATGTGGGCGTGGCACTCAGGAGCGTATGCAGATGAGCGTGAGTTCTTAAACCAAGATACATTTACTTGAGATGCAAAATAAAGATAAGAAGTCTTGTTTTGTGAGAAATTGATTAAAATGATTAAAACGAGAACAAATATCTGTCAATGGAATCAGAAAAATTAACATAATTCAAACGGAAACAAAGCTTTCATCCCCCATTGACAGATATTTGTTCTTGTTTTAATCATAAACTCGCTTCATTTTTAACAATTTCTCAGAAAACTAGACTTCATATCTTCATTTTGCATCTCCATTAAATGTGTCTTGATTTATGTAATCTTGATTTTTGATTAAATCTTGATCGTCAGGCTGTAAAACACTCGTGTAAAGTCATTCATACACACTTTATTCACAGCATCAGGCGGCTCGCGCTGATTCAAACACGTTTATCCCATTACGCTAAGTCGCTAACTGTAAAAAACAGCAAATATTTCAGCTTCCTGATGAAGATATCTCTCTCTCTCACACATCCGTACGTGAGAAATGCATCATGCTTTATAAATAGAAGTGAACTCCTACACTGCTCCTGATGGAAACGAGATGTGAAAGCTGAGAGATGCTGCAGCTGGACCTCATCACGCTCTGGAGGTAATATCTGAGTGCTGGTGGGCAGCATATATTTCACAGATAACAGCAGAATCCACCGCTTCACGCAGTCTGAGGAATAGCAGGTGATTCATCATTTCATGTAAAACTCACTGTATTTATGTGAACGCTCATCACTCATCCACGGTTAGAACAAACCGCTCAGCTAACCCGCCCTGAACGCTGAGGTTAACACTTTAACACAATAGAGTTTTAGAGTCCATAAAACAGGTCGATTACAACACAGGTCGTCACAATTTAACAATTTACTCCTGGAGCCATATTGAAATTCCAATATCTCTGGAACAGAACAATGTAGGGCCTTGAAAATGAAGACGCCGCAAGGAAAGTTTGTTAAGACCCAATGTGTAAAAGGGCTTTAAGATATCTTTAATATTTTGTGAGTTACAGGCCTGCAAACTTTGGAGAAAAAACTTGAAAAGTGCTGTTTCCCCATTTTTGAATGGTCACCATTGGCACATAATGCAACAGAGATTGCTAAAGTCAACAGAGTTTACTAACAGACCTACTATTCTCTGTGTAAAAATAACATTATGATGCTGCCATCTTTCTAAAGTTATTTTTACCCCCCTGTAATTTGGCTCTGAATCTCAGGTGAAAATTGCCATTTTGATCCCCCTCTACAAAATAGTGGATTACTCAGTAAATATTCCTCCATGACATTTAATATTTTGGCTTTTATCACTATACATGTTTATCTTTCTTCAGAAAAAATAAAATAAAAAATTTGAACCAGGGATGCTTGGTTGATTTGACATGGAATGACCCTACTGTTATTAATTAATATTATTAATATGTAAAAAATTTATTATGTAGAAAATATTTTTATTACATTATTGTTTTTTTCTGCATACTATAGTACTGCAAATTTTTGCCTATTTAAATTTTGATGTATTATTTACATGTATTTAAGTTTTTTTTTATTGCTCGCGCTGATTCAAACACGTTTATCCCATTACGCTAAGTCGCTAACTGTAAAAAACAGCAAATATTTCAGCTTCCTGATGAAGATATCTCTCTCTCTCACACATCCGTACGTGAGAAATGCATCATGCTTTATAAATAGAAGTGAACTCCTACACTGCTCCTGATGGAAACGAGATGTGAAAGCTGAGAGATGCTGCAGCTGGACCTCATCACGCTCTGGAGGTAATATCTGAGTGCTGGTGGGCAGCATATATTTCACAGATAACAGCAGAATCCACCGCTTCACGCAGTCTGAGGAATAGCAGGTGATTCATCATTTCATGTAAAACTCACTTTATTTATGTGAACGCTCATCACTCATCCACGGTTAGAACAAACCGCTCAGCTAACCCGCCCTGAACGCTGAGGTTAACACTTTAACACAATAGAGTTTTAGAGTCCATAAAACAGGTCGATTACAACACAGGTCGTCACAATTTAACAATTTACTCCTGGAGCCATATTGAAATTCCAATATCTCTGGAACAGAACAATGTAGGGCCTTGAAAATGAAGACGCCGCAAGGAAAGTTTGTTAAGACCCAATGTGTAAAAGGGCTTTAAGATATCTTTAATATTTTTTGAGTTACAGGCCTGCAAACTTTGGAGAAAAAACTTGAAAAGTGCTGTTTCCCCATTTTTGAACGGTCACCATTGGCACATAATGCAACAGAGATTGCTAAAGTCAACAGAGTTTACTAACAGACCTACTATTCTCTGTGTAAAAATAACATTATGATGCTGCCATCTTTCTAAAGTTATTTTTACCCCCCTGTAATTTGGCTCTGAATCTCAGGTGAAAATTGCCATTTTGATCCCCCTCTACAAAATAGTGGATTACTCAGTAAATATTCCTCCATGACATTTAATATTTTGGCTTTTATCACTATACATGTTTATCTTTCTTCAGAAAAAATAAAATAAAAAATTTGAACCAGGGATGCTTGGTTGATTTGACATGGAATGACCCTACTGTTATTAATTAATATTATTAATATGTAAAAAATTTATTATGTAGAAAATATTTTTATTACATTATTGTTTTTTCTGCATACTATAGTACTGCAAATTTTTGCCTATTTAAATTTTGATGTATTATTTACATGTATTTAAGTCTATTTTTATTTTAAACTATTTTATTTCATTATTTTGATAACATTTATTCATTTACCTAATGTAATCTTATTTATTTTTACATTTTACAGTTTTATTTCTAAACTAAACCATGGTTTACCCCGCTTTGAAACCCCTGAACTAAAAATCAGTCCTGCGACTCAAGACCTCACACACACACACACTCACACTCACTCACACACACACACACACACACACACAC